TTCATTAACACGGCAGAGAGTTTTCGCTGTCATTTTACTGAATTCATATTTAATTCTTTCTTTAAGTTCCTCTATATTTATTGGGCATGTCTGATAAACAACTGATTTAAAAAATCCACAGAAAAAAAATCCAAGGAATTGGTGGCCTCAGTGGCCTCGCAGCAGGCCCTCTTCTATCCATTAATTCCTATGGTGTGTGAATGATAGATAGATAGATAGATAGATAGATAGATAGAGAGAGAGAGAGAGAGATACTCGTCATTGTCCGAGAACGGAATTATTCAGTTTAGTGAACATTTGTATTTGTCTAAGAGAAAAATGGTTTTAAAATGTGCCTGAATTAAGATCAAATATTTCTTTTTGTCTTATTTGAAACAATTCAGAGAAACTTACTTGTCTTTTGCTAGAAAATATCAGACGAGACTTTCATGAAAACTTCGTCAGTTAATGACTTCATGATAAATCCTCATCCATTTGAATATCTTTTGTCAATTCCTGGTGATGTTTCTCACGCATTTTCCGTTTATAATGAATGAAAATATTGAATGATGATTTTGATGATATTTTAGAAACGTTTGTTCGTCCAAATAGCCCCCACCTTTTTTTCTTTTAATCTTAATTTTACATCCACGTTTAATTAATAAACTAGAATCCTGAATCCATCGATTTGTCCCCGATCGCCTGAGAAGTGCATTAGATTTCCACTTTTATTCAATATTATGCAGAGAAGATATTTACTGGCACGGATATTTTTCATTCATTAAAGCTGGAATAATTTTCGAAGTTCAAATTCAAATTCGAGTTCCGAATTAATGCAAATATTTAAGACCATTATTATATACTTTGATTAGAGATTGACTGGCCTTCAATTTTTATTAATCTTCATTGATTCTGGGATTTATATGAGTCAAAATAAACATCACGTGACCGTTATTAGATTACATCTGTAATGTGCTTGGGAAAACTTTTTTATTAAAATTACGGACCACTGCCAGATTTTTTATCTTGAGTATGACCCTGATTATCGTCTGCCTCTGGGAGTTAATATTCTTCAATTTAGGTTGGCTTTTACACCACACGATAGCCGACTCGAGCAGAAAAATTTTAATTTTATTTAATTCGATAAAAACTTTGAATTTCATTAATAACGATAGATTATTGCATTATTTCAATTCGATTAGATCCTATATCGAGGATCACTTATTCCAAAATAAGCCAAATTGGCCTTTAAAAAACTTTCATTGAAAGTAAACAGGGAAGGTACGACTTATTTACCTGCAATAAATCAGGAGAATCATTTTTAATTAAAGAACGAATTTAATTAAGCTTTTCAGATCATTTCTCGGTCTTGTTTTCGCTTCATATTACTTGGTTAGAACCTGATGGGACTTCCATTTTTATTTACGCTCAATTTAAGATATTTCTTAGCCATTACACGTTCACGGTTTCGAATGTAAATTGATCCTAAATGGCACCATGTCAGAAGAACATGATTTAAAATCAAATGTTCAAAGCCCTAAAATTGTTTCAAATGACATTAAATACAAAAAATAATTACCAACATTGTCTCTGGTTTGGAAAATATCTGAAAATTCTGATTGTCTGAATTTTGTCATTATTTCATGAACTAATCTGCCTTTTTTCTTTCGATCGCTACATCTCGACTAATTTTGTGAATTTCTGAAATGTAATATTGTCATCATATATTATTTAACAATAATCGCCAAAGTCGGATTCGATTTGGTGTAAAATCTAAACAACTAGTGCCACAAAAAGTATATTTTAGAGTTCCCTTTAATAATTACGGAATTTGCTCCATGTTTGATTTTTAACTATTTTAATCTTATACGGCATTTCACGACGATGCATGATAAAAATAAATGTCGAATTTTAATGACTATGAAATTTTAGTTCTATCAATGTTCATGGGGATACTTTTATTAGTTGTTTAGTATATATTCTGAACATTTTACACAAAATTTCGTTCCTTTTTTTTTTTTTTTCTCTTTCATTTGCTGAGTATCATTTTAAATGTCACCTAAAAGCTGCTTCTAATACAGTGACTGTATTATTCGTCACTGTTGTCGCATGTTGACATATATAGTAGACTTATGTATGTGTGTAAGTTTAAATAAATGATAGAAAAGGTTAGACTGATTCCGAATATACCGCATGTACTCAAGTATAGGTCGATCATTATGATCAGTTTTTACACCAAAATAGGGGGGTCGTAATATAGACAGGTAATGTTTTTGAAAAGGTTAAAAATCATGCATTATATAAAAGTATTTGTGGATTTTAAATGACACATAATAGATGAGTTTTTGCGCTTCATATAGCGACAAAAGGGAAGAAACGTAAGCTAGGTCGGAGGAAGGCACAAGATAAAAGGAGCTACCGTAGACACGCATGAATGCAAACAAAATTATCTAAATCTTCGTATTAGATAGTTTACGGTAAGTGGTTTTTCTCACCATTTTGGGGCAGATTTTTACAAAAAACAATTTTTTATTTTATTTCCTATAAAATAGGTCCAGCCAGTACTGCAATATTACCACTAGTATAGCGCAAATGCTGTGGTCTGCTTTGTACACAAACTATATGAAAAAATCAGGTTTTTCACGAAAAGTTCATGAATCGCACTATACATGAAGTAAGCTTATAAACGTGTATAAATATGTTTTAGCGGTGTTTTTTAAAACTGTATTTGAACGCAATGACACCTGCCAGAAAGAAATATGCAACTATAGCAGCCACCAGTAGTGTATGTATGAGCCAGTGCTGATTGTTTTATTTGCACACATACATACACACACACACACACACACACACACACACATATATATATATATATATATATATATATATATATATATGCATATGCATAGTAAAGAGTGAAAGCTAAAGCTTAAAAAGATCTAAATGCTTAAAATATAAAATGAACAGAGTCAGAATAGGATGGAAATTACATCAACCTGATGATTGGTACAATGTTACAGCGATTTTGATACTATTGTGTTACTGTATACTGGATTTCGAAATGATTTTATTAATAATACTATTATATATATATATATATATATATATATATATATATATATATATATATATATATATATATATATAGACCAAAAGCAGCCGTATCAGGCCCACAGTTAACCAAGCTCCTGCAGAGGGCTATTGCTTCATCCCAATAGGTAGGGAGGCTTAGATGCGATAGGCTACAATAAACTACAGAAGAACTCAAAATTGATCGCCGCATTTAAGTATTAGATTAATATTTAAGTTTACCTTCTGGAAGTTCAACGATAATTCTTCTGCTGCCACTTCATTTAAAGACAATTTGATGTACAAACAATCATTTCATGGGTGACTTTCGCTGGATTTCGCAATAAATTTCGATTATTCCCAAATAAATTTCCAAGTTACAAAAGTTGTTATCTTACAAAAAAATTCAAAGCAAAAAATCACGTAAAAATATCGCCGAAAACAATCGCAGTAGTAATGAAAACTTGGGAATCCCAAATTCCAGGATTGCAGTTTCAGAATGTTTTAAATTTGTTCACGGAGTTGGCCTGATTCCAAAATGGTATGATATGTTGGACTACTGCCTCTTGAAGTAAAGTTGAAAAAGTGTGACACAGTGACATACTGACATTCGCATTTATCATTATTATTATTATTATTATTATTATTATTATTATTATATAGTTGTCTCTTTCATTGATTTCGGCTACCTACACAGAAGATCAGATTATATTAGTGAATGTTTGTGTAGAATCACTTTACGGAAGAACAGATAGCCAAGACATGACGCACAGGAAGGATGTCAATAGTTGAATTGTCTCTATTTTCCGGATTATATAATTGTTGCTAAATTTCTGAGTTTAACTTATTTTTCGAACATTATTTTACAAAAATATATTTTAATACGGCGAAATGATATAAAATAAAATCGAACAATATAACTGTTTCTGAATATTTAAACTTTACCAGTCTCTTAACGTACTCTTCAATGATTTCAGATTTAAATTTTGTCCATGATTAACGTTTATTAAGTGGATTTTAAAAGCATATGCGATATCGGATTATTACCAGATATCATATATGAATTGTCTTTACTTTTTGATTTACACACACATATATATATATATATATATATATATATATATATATGTGTGTGTGTGTGTGTGTGTGTGTGTGTGTGTGTGTGTGTGTGTAAGAACTGACATATATAAGAATACAGGATGCGATGAATAAATTGTCACCATTTTTATATTTTTAATTTCGCTCATGCGCCCTGTTTGTTTTTGATTTTGTCAACTGCACAGTATAGTTGGATCAGTTGGTCATCGTTTGTGAGAAAAGACGCAATTCACTGCGCCATTCGCGCCGGAAGCTCCAATACAAACATTTCAGAGTGTTTGGATCTCATTGCAGAGGATTCAGAAAAAGTTGGATGATATATCCAGTCAGCATCATGGTGTTTGGAGTCATCACTAGTAATGGAGATGTTATGCTTCCATTCATCTTCCCACAGATTCTCAGATTTAACACGGAGTCAAGTTCTTTGAGGAGGTAATGCTGCCCTGGGTCAAAAGAGTGTCTGCTGGAAGAGCCTCTGTCTGGAAACAGGTCTCTGCACCATGCCACACAAACAGGAGAACCCAGTCATGGCTGTCAGACAATTTCTGTGACCACATAACCCCTTACATCTTGCCACCTAACTCCCCAGAATGCACCCATATTGATTATTATGTGTGGGCACAGTTGGACGAGACACCAACAAAATTTCTTGTAACACGAAAGATGAACTGAAGGCAAGGATTATGGCTGCAGTCATATTTTTTTTATTTCCCATTTCTTCATTTCTTAGGATAATTGTTACAAGCAATTAGGGAGTGTAAGTAGAGAAAACGTTTGTTAGTGAGAAAAGATGCAAGTAAAAGCAATGAATTTACTAGTCTTTACTAGTGTGGAGTATAACAGACAATGAAATGATGAAGGAGAGACAGTCACCGAAAAGCAGAAATTCTATTGCTTACGTTAGAAAAAGCCGTGGCTTTACCCTTCACTGTGTTATTATTCCCTTCAGGATGGGTTCATTAAAAAGAGAGACAGAATAATAAAATGGTGGGGAGGGGATTCAAAGAGAGAAAGTCACCGAAAAGCAGAAATTCTTTTTCTTGCTTTTCAGCCGTATTAAGCCAGCATACACTTCTTAACTGAAGTGATGATGTTTTGTTTTATTGCGTACAGCTGAAATCAAAGACTTGCCTATTCAAAGGACTTATAGTAGAACAGATTTAAATGAAATGTTGTATTATTCATTTCTGAAGAATATATAGCCGTGGAGAGTATTCTTGACCCCCTTCTTAAGACCCGGATTCAGTCACGTGATCATTACCCAGAAAGTTTTTGACCACTTCATACGTCGAGCAATTGGCAAAGTCTATTTTTGTGATGAAAAGGTTTTCCTCCGTCTCAATGACTTAACTTTTAATTTTAAATATTCAAAATTATTTTTTTAAATTATGTAAAAAATTTTCTTGATAATATTGTATATTATTTCATTAAACATGCTAAATTTTGTTAAAGGACATTTTGAAAAAATCACTGCATTACCTAATTTTAAAATTAAAAAAACAGACAATCTTAAGCGTCCATTGATAATATTTTATTTCCCCTGGAAAGGGATTTTTTCCTGGTTCCTCAGATCACATTTCCAAGCATAAAAGAAAATGGTTTAACATTTACATATTATTATTTTTATACAAGCTTTTGTGGAGTAGTTTGATGTAAGATGATAGAGATAGGAGGAGGAGGGTTATATATATATATATATATATATATATATATATATATATATATATACACGCATGCATACATAGATCCACACACATATATGCATATGTAAACACATCAAGTACATCATACAAATACACAAACACATATACATATATATAAACATATACGCACATACGCACATAAATATATAAGTACATACATATACACACAAAAAATATACATGAATACAAATGCATACATATGTACACATAAACATAACAGCATATATACGCATATATACACCTACATACGCACAACACAAAAATATATATATGGGTAAGCATACATCCGCACTACATATATACATACATACTCGCATACATATATACACACACACACACGCACACACACACACACACACACACACATATATATATATATATATATATATATATATAAATATATATATATATATATAAAGAAAGAACAGTAAGATATATAATTCGGTGTTCTTATAGATATTTTTTATTTTTACAAAATAGTGCTCAATATAAATTTACAGAACATTAATATTACAAATTAATTGATTTTAAAATTTTTTTTTCGCTACACAGTTCTAACCATGTTTCAAAAATGGAAGCTAAAAGCCATTTGAATTTAATTTTGTAATTAAATTAAAGACATTAGTTCCATTTCATCCTCAAGCGAATTTTGGAGTAACTTTTTAAAATTACTGGGTTTTAAACACACAGCTAAAATCATAATTTATGTTTTCAAGGTTACATATGAATCCATTTTACTAGACGAGGGGTGTCTGGGTGTTCATTATGTCTATATTTTAATGTATCAGTTATTGCTACGTTTTGGTAGTGGGTAGGGATATATTTTTCAATGAAATCTAACATCCGTTAAAAATGCGTGTCGTCTGGATTTTTAAAAATTTTATTGTTAACGGCAAAAATTCTTACGGCATTTTTTTTCCTTCGTATATTTAAAGATTTTTTTGGTTGTTTAGGTTAGAATACTTTTTATTTAACTACGATTTGAAATATTTTACTTTTAATTTTTAATAAACTATATTTCTTTTAAGAACAATTAAATGTAATGAGAATCCCTTACAGTTTGTAGAATTATTATCACATCAAGTATATTAGGATTTTTAAAAATTTTTATATCTAAATATTATTTAAGTAAAAAATTTTTGCACTTACGGCAAAAAAAGCTAATTTATTTCTCTGTTTTAGTAAACTTTATTTATTTATTTAATTACAATTTTAAAAAAAGTTTAGGTTAGAATTCATTTTAATTAACTACAATTTAAATTAAAACTAAAATATTTTCATTGTTAGTTTTATAAACTATATTTCATTTAATAGAAGTAAATGTATTAGAACTACTTATAGTAAGTAAGATTATTTATCGATATCTAGTATATGTATATTACGATTTTTAAAAAAATTTATATTTAAATATTATTTAAGTAAAAAAATTTTTTTTGCACTTACGGCAAAAATAGCTAATTCATTTCTCTGACTTAGTAAACTTTATTTATTTCTTTAATTACAATTTAAAAGAAGTTTAGGTTAGAATTCATTTTAATTAACTACAATTTTAATTACAACTTTAAAATATTTTCATTGTTAGTTTTTATAGACTATATTTACTTTAATAGAAGTAAATGTATTAGAATTACTTACTGTAAGTAAAATTATTTTTCCATATCAAGTATATGTCTATTACGATTTTTAAAATTTTATATTTAAATATTATTTTTGGCACTTACGGCAAAAATAGCTAATTAATTTCTCTGATTTAGTAAACTTTATTTTTTATTTTTTTTTTTATATATATATAAACTTAGTGATATATAGTTTCACATGTATGTACAAAGGACATGGGTCATTCAATGGCCTACATCCTCTAGCTTTTCGTCATAATTTCATTTTTCGGTAGGTGTTTTTTATTGGATACATTTAAGTGTCGGTATTACTTTTTTTGAGAGGTGTTTAGGTTAGAATACGTTTTATTTAACAACAATTTAAAAGATGTTTAGGTTAGAATTCGTATTAACTACAATTTTAAATACAACTTTAAAATATTTTCACTGTTATTTTAATAGACTATTTTTATTTTTATGAAAAACAAGTAAATGTAATAGAATTACTTATTATATAAAATTAATTATTCATGTTAAATATAAGTATGTATATTACCTGATCGCATTTTTTTAAATTTTTTTTTTTTTAAATATTATTTAAGGAAAATTTTTGACAATGACGGGATAAAATAGCTATTTCATTTCTCTGGTTCAGTAAATTTTTATTTTTTATAAACTTAGTAATATATAGTTTCTCATGTATGCACAAAGGGCATGGGTCATTTAATGACCTACATATTCTAGCTTTTCTTATTAACTTCCATTTTACTGTAGGTGTTTTATTTGATTCTTTTAGGTGCCAGAAGTATTTTGATAGAGATGTTTGATTTTTATATTTATTTATCCTAAATGAGGTTTGATGTTGGTTGAATCTTTTTTTGAACTCATGGCTAGCGCAACCTATATATATTTTTATGTTTTCCGGACTCTCAATCGAAGAGATATTGCATTGGTATACTATTGATTCAGTGCGACATTTATTTTGTAGAGGGCAATTATGAGGGTTTCTACAGTTACATAATTTTTGTTTATTTTCATCAGTTTTTATTTTTATTCTTCCATTGTCTAATTTTTTTTGATTTTGGTATAAGTGTTTGTTTAAGATATTAGCATTATAGTTCTTAATAATTTTTTCTAAGTTTTCCGTACAGCTGTAACTCAATTTTAGTGTGTTTTTATTGAAAATAGTACTTAGTTTACTTTCACTAGGAAAATTCTTGACTATTAATGCGAGGAATTTTTGTTCTAATTTGTTCTTTACCATTTGGTTGTATGGGGGCGTATACCAATTTATTTTTCTACATCTGTTTTTTCTATGCTTTGCATTTTCATTTTTTTATATAAGTTAGTTTTGGGTTTTTGTAGCCACTTAGAGCCTATTATAGGAATTGATATGCTCATCGAAAATCTTGTCATTTACTGAATTTGTACTAATTCGTTTACTGATAGATAACGGTATATGTTTAATTATAGATGGGGAGAGGATTCGATTTAGGGTGTATATATAAAGGATTGGTGTTGGGTTTTTTATAAGGTGTGTATGTATTTTTATCTAGATCTAATGTTATATCTAGGAAGTTCACTTTTTTAAGTTTAGTGCTAACCGTAATTTTAAGCCCATGCTTTTAAATTCTTTATATAAAACCTTTCTAATTCTATCTATTTTAAAGTTAGTTGAGTTTGTAATAACCATAAGTCCATCGTCTCTGTACAAACCAATGTCATTTATATTCATATCACGGTGCGCTGTAAGGTTGTATAACATAAAAAGATCAGAAGACTCAGCTGAGTCTAGTGATCCCATTGTCAAAGTGGTCATAAGAATTCAAAATGTCTTAAAATAATTGTCGTACTTTGTCCATTTCATAATGTGTGACGTCATTTGTTTACATTTGGATACGCCATGAGCAGATATGAATATACGTGAGAGATTCATAGAAGATTGAAGTTCAAATACAGTAAATTCGACCTTGCTAACCGAACGCCCCTCTGTGGCCAAATCGGTAAAGGCACGTAAAGCTAAATGACGGTTCCGTATAGGATACAGGCTCAAATCCTGTCGGAGGACGAATATTTTCTGTGAAAATTTCTCGGACATTCAAGCCGGTAAATGTTGTTTAATATTGTTTATTATAAACAGAGCATTTACTTAAATATTTTATATCTATAAAAAGAATGTATAAACATAAAAATGTCTTAATATATATATATATATATATATATATATATATATATATATAGAGAGAGAGAGAGAGAGAGATAGAGAGAGAGAGAGATAGATAGATATGAAGAAATATACTCTTAAGGTATGCTATATTTATGGGATAAAGTGCTCAGTATCAGAGGTAGAGCGTGTGTAAATATAAATATAAAAACACTTAGAGGCAATAGGCTGTTTCATGCTAGACGCAATCGGTGGCCTGTTATTGTCAAAAGATTCATAATGCAATATACACGGGCAAAAAGAAAGAATTATTCTTACAGTCCAAAATTATGTTTCTGTTTTAAATAGCTCTCAGAAGGGTTAATAAACTATAAAAAAATATCTATCTATCTATCTATCTATCTATCTATCTATCTCGACCGTTCTATTTCTATAAGTCCATCGTTTTTGCTGACAAAGCAGCTTATGGATTGAGAGAAGTTGCATCTCATTAATCAACATGCCATCCCAACGTATGCAAAAAAGCCTCGACATGAAAGCAAGTATCTGACAATGTCTATCGCGAAAAAAGAAAAAAACATTTCTCTGCGTCAACCGATAAATTGTATTAAAGATGAGGATACCAGTCCAGATAATTAATGAAATCCGAATAAATCTACCACAGAAATCCACACAATATGAGGTTTGGCTGATGCGTAGAGATTGAAAGAATCAAGATAAATAGACCAAATCATGAATCAATGACAATATTGCACCCTCAAAATTAAGAGAGTCAGGCTTTGTAATATTTCCAAAGAGACAATATTAGTCCTCATTTAATTATTTTTTTATTTAAATAATCTCATTTGAAACAAATTTTGGCCTTTGCACTTTTGGTTCTTCTAATATGGCTTCGTTAAGAATCAATTTTCATTCGGTCGATTTATTTTGTTAACTGTTTGTGGAAGAGAGATTCACACGATGCTGACGCAATTTATCTGATTGGGTAAATATCGTAAAGGGATGCGGGCGTCTATAACATGTCAGATATGGTGTGAAATCATGTCTTAAAAAACAAACAACATTCGGATGTAAAAAGTTAAGTTTGTTTCCTTGTCAAATTCACTCGAGATTTTGTTTAAATAAATGCATAAAATGCGTGCGCAGAAATCGGTACATAAAATTGATAGGTTTTGTTTGCTTCACTAAATAAAAAAAACAAGTGACTCTTATGAAAGCCAGTATTAATTCTGTATAACTTATCTTTCCAACGTTGGTTGACAGTTGTAAAAGTAATTAGCAGAAATAATGCGTTCCAATGTATATCACACGATACGTACGTAATCCAAATAAACTTTACTCCTCTATAAATCAATACTATGTCAACACAATCATATATATACAGTGGGAGAGAGGAACAAATATTTGTACGCATACAAATTTTTGATTAATTGTATTTGTAACTAATAAATAAACATACTTTTCATATAATTAACTGTACACGGAGGCATAATAACCAAATATAAATAAAAAATAGAAAAACAAATTCTTAGTTTAATGTACATGACAATCGTCAGGCACATATTGAAATCTTGTGCTTATATATATATATACTAATGATTATACTCGGTTGAGGAAAAAATCCCGGATGGCACAATTTGCTTTGCAAGTATATCAAAACAAATATATGTATGTCAGAAAGAAATGTCCGTTAAGTCTTTTGTGGTTTTCTCCTTGTGTTATTTGATAGAAAGTTGTAAAAGAATTTTTCCCGTCTACTCTTGACTAACGTAGGTCGTTTTCAATGAAAGGTTCATTAAATAAGAAAAATATTATTAAGGAGCGAGAACAAAAGAAGGGGAAGAGTAATCAAGACAACAGTAGATAACGATTGACATTGCATTTAAATTTTTGAAGATCAAAGTTAGCTGGAATGCATGGAACCGGAAGAGAGTTCCACAAGTTAGAAGTGCGAGAAAAAATATTGCTAGCATAGAGCTTATGGTTACATCTAGCCAAATCAACTGTAAATTGATAAGACCATATTGCCAATCTAGTACTGCGCTTAAATTCATAATGTCCAGGTACCATAGCAAAGAGTTCATTCGAACAATTACCATGAAATATTTATAGAAAAGGTGCCAAGAAAACTGATGCAATCAATTCTAAGCACGCAATGCGCAGAAGTCAGTTTGACAAAACTAAAGATATGTTATGGCGTCACACGGCAAAATTTACCTGACAATTCAAAGGCATTTTCACACGTAGATGCTTAGACCAAAACAAATTCTATTGATAATATGTTGCAGTCGTTTCAAATACAGTATAAGACTTCCACAATTTTTATCACTTTTCGCGGTTGTATTGTCGACTAAAGCCTGATTGAATCCTTTAGCATTCTGAGCTTTTTTTCTAACCAATTTATGTCTGGATGAGTTTTCTGTTTTACGATGAGAGAGAGAGAGAAAGAGAGTGAAAAAGAGAGAGATAGAGTGTGTGTGTGTGTGTGTGTGTGTGTGTGTGTGTGTGTGTGTGTGTGTGTGTGTGTGTTAATTTTAATTGGTTAATGGTTATAATAGCATGTTGTATACCAATTCCTTTTGAGAGACTTTTTCGAAGATATTAAAAAAAAACAAAAAAAACTCAGTATATATTTTACATACTACAACAATTTTCTCGCGAAGATTTACCTGTCATATTTTCGAGCAAAATGTTCTGTGTAAAAATATAACACATACTATCTACGGACTCTCTTGTAATTTTTGTAACAAGGCTTTACCAATGCAGCTGCAAGAAACGTAAACAAATTATTTAAGCCCTTCACATTAAATGACATCAACACATTAACCCTTTCTGTCCCGTTGCCCAAGAAGTTTTGTTAAACAGCTCAACCTAGAAATCATAATCAAAAGGCAGGGCCTGCTGAGATTTATTAGATGCAGATGACACGATGATAGATACAGAAAGAAAGGTGCAGTTACTTCTAGTCAATGTAGGAAAGCAAGAAGAAAGGACTAATGAACAATTGTAAAAAGAGAATATATGGTCCTTATCGAGAAGGACAGCCCATAAATTGGAGATGTCGGAATAAAGCAAGTTTAAAAATTTGACGATCTCAGAAATTAGATCAAGATACTCTCATGGAACATTCAAAACACCGTAGTACAGCAGAAGGTGGGAAATATTAAATTAATGATTTCTTCATGGGATAAACTCTGACAGTATTAATTTATATGAATATATATACAATAATCTGTTCTAAAATTTTCAATTTAAAAATAAAACAATATTCAATTAAAAGAAAATTCAACATAAAAAATCAATTAAAAAAAATTATCAAATTATGCTTAATCAACATTTTACATTTTTACGTAGTACTGTGTATGACGATAAACTACATCCGGCAGCAAGGCCTCTGATCGGGAGAGTGGAGGTTTTGAGGAGTATGGAGTCACCTCTTCATTACTGTTGTTCCCAGGTCCGGGCTTGTAGCACTTGTTAGTGTGCCAGCTATGGAAAAATAGAAATCTTCCCAAACAAAATCACTGAAAGTTTAAAAATACATTTTAATAGTAAAAATATCAGCAATACATTTTATAATAAAATGACCAACAATACATTTTTATATTAAAATGACCAACAATACATGACCAGCAAAATATTTTATCTGTAGATGGATAGTTGCCTTCAAAATATATTTAGTTGAAGCCATAAAATTGTGTTCAAATTATTTAGATTTCAGCATTAGTGGTTGATATGCCACTAAATAAAATCAGATAAACATGAACTTTTATAACATTAATCCATATAATATCCTAGAATTTCTTAAACTGTATTTCAAAATAACTTAAAAAATAAAACACCCATATCACCGCCTCTAGTAATTATCTACACAAACTTGTATGTGCAGAAAAGCTGATCTAAAAAAGGCTCAACCAATTTTTTAAAAATTCAATTCAACAAACTTATTAATGCTGGAGGTCTTCTCCTATGTAACGTGTCCCTTCAGGACGTGACCGATTATGGTTCTCCACAACTTTCTGCTCTTTGTTGCTGTTACTAGTGTTTGTCTCTTTACTATCTCTTTTAATTGCTGTTCTGTCACATCAACTCATTCGCTGCTTTCCTCTTTCCACATTTCATTTCAATATATCTTGTATCCAATATGTCTCTTTCTTCATTATCTACCCTAGAAATTTCAATTGTTTTTTTTTCTGATTCTAAGTATAAATCTTCTTTTTGCTTCCATTTTCTTTAAAATTTCGTCGTTTCTTCGTTCATTGTATCCTCAGCATCCTTCTATAGAACCACATTTGTGTCGCCTTGAGTCTCTTCTTCATTGGTGAGGAGATTGTTCAGCATTCATTGCCATATAGGAGGGCTGATATTACGTAACAGTTCAGTACTGTCTTTCATTTGTTTCTACGGAGATTTTCTTGTTTTTTTTTTAATCCTTTGCTTAGCTTTTGAAAGGCATCATTCGCTATTCGAACGTACCTTCGGATTTTGGTGTCATACATCCCGTCCCCTGTTAAATCACTTCCTAGATATTTAATTTTTTGTACTTTCTTCATTTTGGTGTCGCCAATTCGTACTTCGCATGTTGGGATCTTTCTTTTGCTGCCAACCATAAATTCTATTTTCTTATAATAATTCATTGATGAAGTCCTTTCTTCTCGCTTTCTTATATTAACTTTTGTAGGAGATCCTGTAGTTTTCTTTTTATATCTGCTATCAACACTATGTCATCTGCATGTCCAGATTGTGGTCGCAAATAATGAAGCCTGGTAAAATTTTTAATTATCTCAGTCCGATGAGAAGATCCATCATTGTCTTACGTTCCTTTCAATTTTTGTGTATTCATTGAATTCATTTTCATCCGTATGCAGGCGGTTTATTCTCAGTTACCTAGCGGTTCAAACAGATACATAAACGTCCAGAAGATAGTTCGTGATTACCAACCTGGATATATTTACGGTTGTGAAGCGAAGATGGAAATAAACACCAAAACAGTCAAATACCGAATGACAACAAAAACGGTCTTTGATTGTGTATTTGTTCCGGTTAAAAATTAATGCTTCGATAATAAATATTAACATTTTTCAACCAACAATAAAAAAAAAAAAAAAAATGCTTCGTGATCCCTTTGAAGTTTATTTAAGTAAAGTTTCCAAACCAACAAACAAAAAGGAGAGACAAAAGGCAAAAGATGGTAACAGGTCACGCCACATTTACCCGTTTTCCTCATCAAGCTACGAGACGCTTACACTTTTCTCTCCACTTTCTCCCTCGCTTCTTCTTTCTCACACATACACACTAAAATAAATCATATTTCTTTTCATCTTGGAAAACAACGACAAACAAAAGACTGTATCCTGAAAAATATAAGGACTATAACAATTACACACGCTAAGAAAAATTTAGTTGTGAAAAAACACGGAAATCCAAATAACTTAAATTTTTTTATATTTAAACACATTTTTCGCCTTTTTCTTTGTTGTGGGCGGATTCAAATTCACAATACGATAATGTAAAAAATTATTAACTCGGCTTTCCTCTACGTCTGGTTGCATCGTCTGGTTGCATCGTCTGGTTATATTGTATTGACGCAATATTTTTGATTGTTGGTAAACAGAATTTGCACCTTATTTACCCAAAAGATACAACATAAAAACTGCAGACGAAACAATCAAATTCTATTTTTGATTTTATTTACCAATGTGACATCATGGTCATTATTTACCAATGTGACATCATGGTCATTATATCAACAATTAGTGGCCATCCCACTGTCCTACATCTTGAAATCAAATCTGAAATTCTATGCAAACTCCGACGCTATCGTCTACCACAGATTTTCCTTTTATTATAATCTAAGAAATAAACACTCACACACTTGATGGCGCATCGCTATAGTAACGTAATTTCGAATTCTATCAAGGTTGGCAAGTTATGATTGAGCAGCTCCAGCACATATATGGCAGAAATATTCCATTTTGGGCCTAAACTAATTCGGTTAAAGATAGAGTATAAAAGAAGGAGTCTGGAACTTCCTGAAGAAATAGCATCGGTTATCCCACTTGGTTTCATTGGGAGGCACCCTTTAGGTTTTTATAAAAATGCAAACATATTCTCCCTGTTTCTCTTTTTCCTGTAGTTGTACGTAGGTAAGGTGTCCCCGGCTGGGGCACGTTCATTTTCGTAGTCCTCTATTAACTGAACTCTCGTACGCACACACAAAAACAAACAAACACACACACATAACAGGCACATTCTTTTAGCTAGTTTCAATGTATTTTCCTTTCATTTCAATTGTGTATACTTTTGTTAATATATGTATTAATTATCGTTTGTTTTAAATTCGTTGTTTTGTGTCAACCATTTTTACCCGGATTCACAAGAGTCTGCCATTACTGTTTGCTGGACAAATGCTCCAGGAGGCAATAAATATACAAGGTCAACACACATCAAAAGTGTAAAATATCGCAACTAAATGGTGACTTATTTTGACCCGAACATCAAAGAATCCCGCGACAATAGAGTGTGCTGACCATTTTTACAGAATCTTTTGCAATGGATTGTGTATATGAGTTCCATCCAGGAGACGTTGAAAACATGGAGGTTCATTGAGAAATGCGTAGCATTAAGTGCATTAACAAAGAAAGGCATTGAGTTGAAAAACAAATAATTGTCGTTTAAAACATAGTTTTTTTTCTCATATTACTACGGACTTATTGATGGACCTAGACGTACAGGTAAATATATACGTGTGCATGTAAATATATACGTGTGCATGTAAATATATACGTATGCATAAATGTACGACGGTTTGCGGAAAGCTTCACCGTCTGAGTCACACCTCGAAATATGGACAAATTACTAAACATCAGAATTCTCCTTAAACCACTTCCTGGTATGGCTAAGAATTTATCATCACACCTAATGCACGTCAGTCATATGCAAATATTCCCAACACATTAGGTTTAACGAAAGACTGAACACGCAGTAGAAAAATTCTTTTTTCAATAAAATCATTGGAAACTTTTCTTTTGCATGTATCACATGATAAATTGTGTGTGTGTGTGTGTGTGTGTGTGTGTGTGTGTGTGTGTGTGTGTGTGTGCGCACAAATGAAGAGATTTATTGATTGAAAAATAAAATAGCTAAATGATAACATACCGAATGTATTATGCAAATAATTCCCTTATATATTAGTCTTGGAGGAAAGTAGACGATTTCATTTATGGTTGCCAAATTTCTATTAAAAGGTGAACGCGTTTTCAATATTTACAGAATACGGCAAGGAAATATTTTTAGAGTTAGATATAGTAAAAAAAACAAAAAAGAACTTAGAAAAAAAAAAACGATACACGTAAAATAAGCTATTAAATCAGAGAACATTATTACCTAAGGTTATAAAACTGAGTCAATAAATAAATAGTTTGGATAATTTACGGGAAGAAGAATTTTATCAAGAAAAATATAAAAGTATAAATGTAAAAGCTAAAAACAAAAGTGTAAAAGAAAAAGTTATTAATATTTTACTGTAAAAAAAAGACAGGAATTTAATTTTTGTATATATCGGTTGTATTTAAAGTTCATCCGTATAAATAAAAATAGGAAAAACTATGACATATTTTTGTTAGTATATCTTTCGGATTATTGCGTTGAATCAGAGAAAATTTGATTTTCTTACTTTAACAAAGTTGAGAACGCTCGCTACTAAAATCAATCAAATCAACTTCAAATTTAATACTGTTAAATTCTTGAAAATCATGGTACGGCATTTTCGATATTAAGTTCTGATGAATAATTGTAACGAATTTCATAAAACTTTATATTTTATTTCTTTCCTTTTTCTACGGTATCATAAAATTATCAAATGCAATATTAGTGATTAGCTAGCATTGTAATATAAAGACTGAAGAAAAGATTGCAGCGTTTATAAGTGAATTTTGAAGACAATAGTTTAAATATTAATACATAGAATTATTCAAGCAAATATGTATTACTTGTTCCAATATTTCAACAATTTTGAAGCATATTCATGGTTCCGTTCTCCCAGAATTGGGAAAAACTCCCACTAATGAATAGTACCTAATAGTTTGTACAGATTTCTAGAGAATTCAAGAAAACATTGTAGGTATTGAAAGAAATGGAAGTCAGGGAAGATGGAGAGGCAGACATATTAGGAGATCCCAGTCGGGCAGCACAAATTTGTTCCAGAAGTGAAGTCTGGAAATGTACAGTTCAAACACATCAAAAACTCAATTCTTTAATATGCTACGACATTCATCATTTCGTAACATTTCATTAGTTCAAAAAGGAAGAAACAGAAATCAAGAAGTCACAGAAGAAGGAAAACTTAATAAAACATAAGGACATACAATGTCAGCAAATGCAATGCATAACTTTTAGAAACAAAGCTTAAAGATAAAAAACATCACACACTCAATTAACAATCCAGCCTCCAGTTCCACAAGATACAACATCACTTTCAATCATTATTCCCCTTTCCAATTCCACCAGATAGACAACATCACTTTCAATCATTATTCCCCTTTCCAATTCCACCAGATAGACAACATCACTTTCAATCATTATTCCCCTTTCCAATTCCACCAGATAGACAACATCACTTTCAATCACCATTCCTCCTTCCAATTCCACCAGATAGACAACATCACTTTCAATCATTATTCCCCTTTCCAATTCCATTATTCCTCCTTTCCAATTCCACCAGATAGACAACATCACTTTCAATCACCATTCCTCCTTCCAATTCCACCAGATAGACAACATCACTTTCAATCACCATTCCTCCTTCCAATTCCACCAGATAGACAACATCACTTTCAATCACCATTCCTCCTTCCAATTCCACCAGATAGACAACATCACTTTCAATCACCATTCCTCCTTCCAATTCCACCAGATAGACAACATCACTTTCAATCACCATTCCTCCTTTCCAATTCCACCAGATAGAGAACATCACTTTCAATCACCATTCCTCCTTCCAATTCCACCAGATAGACAACATCACTTTCAATCATTATTCCCTTTCCCATTCCACCTTCCAATTCCACCAGATAGACAACATCACTTTCAATCACCATTCCTCCTTCCAATTCCACCAGATAGACAACATCACTTTCAATCACCATTCCTCCTTCCAATTCCACCAGATACTTTCAATCAATTCTCCTTCCAATTCCACCAGATAGACAAATCACTTTCAATCTTTCAATCACCATTCCTCCTTCCAATTCCACCAGATAGACAACATCACTTTCAATCACCATTCCTCCTTCCAATTCCACCAGATAGACAACATCACTTTCAATCACCATTCCTCCTTCCAATTCCACCAGATAGACAACATCACTTTCAATCACCATTCCTCCTTCCAATTCCACCAGATAGACAACATCACTTTTCAATCACCATTCCTCCTTCAATTCCACCAGATAGACAACAACAATCATTCCTTTCAATCCACCAGATAGACAACATACTTTCCATTCCTCCTTCCAATTCCACCAGATAGACAACATCACTTTCAATCACCATTCCTCCTTCCAATTCCACCAGATAGACAACATCACTTTCAATCACCATTCCTCCTTCCAATTCCACCAGATAGACAACATCACTTTCAATCACCATTCCTCCTTCCAATTCCACCAGATAGACAACATCACTTTCAATCACCATTCCTCCTTCCAATTCCACCAGATAGACAACATCACTTTCAATCACCATTCCTCCTTCCAATTCCACCAGATAGACAACATCACTTTCAATCACCATTCCTCCTTCCAATTCCACCAGATAGACAACATCACTTTCAATCACCATTCCTCCTTCCAATTCCACCAGATAGACAACATCTTTCAATCACCATTCCTCCTTCCAATTCCACCAGATAGACAACATCACTTTCAATCACCATTCCTCCTTCCAATTCCACCAGATAGACAACATCACTTTCAAACAATTCATCACTTTCAATCACCATTCCTCCTTCCAATTCCACCAGATAGACAACATCACTTTCAATCACCATTCCTTCCAATTCCACCAGATAGACAACATCAACAATCCATTCCTTTCAATTCACCAGATAGACAACATCACTTTCCAATCACCATTTCCTTCCAATTCCACCAGATAGACAACATCACTTTCAATCACCATTCCTCCTTCCAATTCCACCAGATAGACAACATCACTTTCAATCACCATTCCTCCTTCCAATTCCACCAGATAGACAACATCACTTTCAATCACCATTCCTCCTTCCAATTCCACCAGATACAACAACTTTCAATCACCATTCTCCTTCCAATTCCACCAGATAGAGACTTCACTTTCAATCACCATTCCTCCTTCCAATTCCACCAGATAGACAACATCACTTTCAATCACCATTCCTCCCTTCCAATTCCACCAGATAGACAACATCACTTTCAATCACCATTCCTCCTTCCAATTCCACCAGATAGACAACATCACTTTTCAATCACCATTCCTCCTTCCAATTCCACCAGATAGACAACATCACTTTCAATCACCATTCCTCCTTCAATTCCACCAGATAGACAACATCACTTTCAATCACCATTCCTCCTTCCAATTCCACCAGATAGACAACATCACTTTCAATCACCATTCCTCCTTCCAATTCCACCAGATAGACAACATCACTTTCAATCACCATTTCTTCCAATTCCACCAGATAGACCTTCAATCACCATTCCTCCTTCCAATTCCACCAGATAGACAACATCACTTTCAATCACCATTCCTCCTTCCAATTCCACCAGATAGACAACATCACTTTCAATCACCATTCCTCCTTCCAATTCCACCAGATACGACAACATCCTCTTTCAATTCCACCATTCCATCCTTCAATCACCCATTCCACCAGAAAGACAACATCACTTTCAATCACCATTCCTCCTTTCCAATTCCACCAGATAGACAACATCACTTTCAATCACCATTCCTCCTTCCAATTCCACCAGATAGACAACATCACTTTCAATCACCATTCCTCCTTCCAATTCCACCAGATAGACAACATCACTTTCAATCACCATTCCTCCTTCCAATTCCACCAGATAGACAACATCACTTTCAATCACCATTCCTCCTTCCAATTCCACCAGATAGACAAACAACATCCATTCCTTTCAATCACCATTCCTCCTTCCAATTCCACCAGATAGACAACATCACTTTCAATCACCATTCCTCCTTCCAATTCCACCAGATAGACAACATCACTTTCAATCACCATTCCTCCTTCCAATTCCACCAGATAGACAACATCACTTTCAATCACCATTCCTCCTTCCAATTCCACCAGATAGACAACATCACTTTCAATCACCATTTCAATTCCACCAGATAGACAACATCACTTTCAATCCATTCCTCTTCAATTCCACCAGATAGACAACACAAACATCACTTTTCAATCACCACTTTCAATCTCCTTCCAATTCCACCAGATAGACAAACATCACTTTCAATCACCATTCCATTCCTTCCAATTCCACCAGATAGACAACATCACTTTCAATCACCATTATTTCCTCCTTCCAATTCCACCAGATAGACAACATCACTTTCAATCACCATTCCTCCTTCCAATTCCACCAGATAGACAACATCACTTTCAATCACCATTCCTCCTTCCAATTCCACCAGATAGACAACATCACTTTCAATCATTCCTCCCATTTCCAGATAGCAAACATCCTTTCAATCACCATTCCTCCTTCCACCAGATAGACAACATCACTTTCAATCACCATTCACCATTCCACCAGATCCTCCTTCAATCACCATTCCACCAGATAGACAACAACATCATTCCTTTCAATCACCATTCCTCCTTCCCAATTCCACCAGATAGACAACATCACTTTCAATCATTCCTCCTTCCAATTTTCCTTTCCACCATTCCTCCTTCAATTCCACCAGATAGACAACATCACTTTCAATCACCATTCCTCCTTCCAATTCCACCAGATAGACAACATCACTTTCAAACCATCACTTTCAATCACCATTCCTCCTTCCAATTCCACCAGATAGACAACATCACTTTCAATCACCATTCCTCCTTCCAATTCCACCAGATAGACAACATCACATTCAATCACCATTCCTCCTTCCAATTCCACCAGATAGACAACATCACATCACTTTCAATCACCATTCCTCCTCCTTCCAATTCCACCAGATAGACAACATCACTTTCAATCACCATTCCTCCTTCCAATTCCACCAGATAGACAACATCACTTTCAATCACCATTCCTCCTTCCAATTCCACCAGATAGACAACATCACTTTCAATCACCATTCCTCCTTCCAATTCCACCAGATAGCAAACATCACTTTCAATCACTTTTCCATTCCTTCCAATTCCACCAGATAGACAACATCACTTTCAATCACCATTCCTCCTTCCAATTCACCCAAATTCTTTCAATCACCTTCCAATTCCACCAGATAGACAACATCACTTTCAATCACCATTCCTCCTTCCAATTCCACCAGATAGACAACATCACTTTCAATCACCATTCCTCCTTCCAATTCCACCAGATAGACAACATCACTTTCAATCACCATTCCTCCTTCCAATTCCACCAGATAGACAACATCACTTTCAATCACCATTCCTCCTTCCAATTCCACCAGATAGACAACATCACTTTCAATCACCATTCCTCCTTCCAATTCCACCAGATAGACAACATCACTTTCAATCACCATTCCTCCTTCCAATTCCACCAGATAGACAACATCACTTTCAATCACCATTCCTCCTTCCAATTCCACCAGATAGACAACATCACTTTCAATCACCATTCCTCCTTCCAATTCCACCAGATAGACAACATCACTTTCAATCACCATTCCTCCTTCCAATTCCACCAGATAGACAACATCAC